AAGTGAAATAGTCAATAGGAATCTAGCTATGCATTCCTATGGTGTTTTTTTTAATTTTTATTATTATTCTGACGGCGTACGCCAGTGGTTCTCAACCTGTGGGTCGCTGTGTGATTTCTGCTGTGCTAGGTGAGAGTCCTCCTCAGCCCTCTCCTAGCGCAGCAGTGTCAGTTCTCCCACTACGCTGCCAGATGTCTCTGCAGTCATCCCTAAATTTTACCGTTGGGGGTCACCATAACTTGGCAAATGTTACCAAGGGGTCCCGGGCCTAGAAAGGTTGAGAACCACTGCGTTAGAGAACCATTATCATCCTCAGATATGCTTTGGGGAACTCTGTTCGGGGAAAGCCTGGTCTCTGCTCGGAGAAAGTCTGCTGACCGAGTTGGAAGTTTTAAGCCAACCAAAAGCCGTTTTTGGTTCACAGGAAAGGAACGGTTTAGCTGTTACCCAATCAGATACTTGCTTCATCTTCTTCAAAATAACAGCAGGAGTATTATGTGTAGCTGGAATGTGTCATTTTTGGCATTAATAAATGTATTATAATGTCTACAGGTGCTCCGTATTGGACTAATGGGCTACAACGCAACGAAAGTCAACGTAGATCGCGTATTAGAAGCTCTCCGTGATGCTTTGCAGCACTGCCCTAAGAATAAGATGTAATTGTGGTGTACTGTGCAACCGCTGAAGAAACTCACTGTGTAAATGTAGCATCAACCTCTACCTGCTCACCCCCTGAACCCATGTCTTCCATGACATCTCCTGAGCAATGAAAACATATACAATAAGATAGAGAAATAAAATATCTGTGATTGTCTATAGAGGATGAATTTAATAAACACTTTTAAACTATTCTTAGAATATGTTGACTTGACACTACACACAATAATGAACTGGATCATAAAGACCAGTGCAAGGGTAGTCAACCTCAGGACTCCAGCTATGGTGAAACTACAAGTCCCATGAGGCGTTGTAAGACACTGCAGAAAGTCACCTACACTCCATACAGCGTTGCGACCTGTGAACATGGCGGTGCTCGTAGTGATGCCACGCTTGGCGCTGTGCAGTGCTTCAGATAAAGAATAGCCTAATCACCGGCACACACATATGTCTACCCGATGAAAGGGCCCTGCACGACCCCGAAATGTTGTTCTCTGACATGATGTGACTGTTTGAGACCTATGAGAAGGGACTGCAGGGGTAGGGGGGCAATGCTCCTGCAAAACATGTAGTGCTTGTTCAAAGCTGTTGGGCTGTAGGGCACAAGGAAGTGCTGCAGGAAGGTGTATACTGGCAGGATCAATAGGTAGGATGTTGAGAATGGAAGAGAAACAGAGCACTGGATGAATGGACAAGGTGGAGAGTGAGTGACCCACTCTCATGAGTATGTACCTTTCAGCTCTGGAAGTTTGCTGGAAGTTGTAACTAACACTGCAGCATCCAGACATGGGGCATCTCTCATCACAGGTCATTTAGGTTTACAGTGCAACTGTCAAAAAATTTTTTTTTTTTCCCGGAGTTCAGCTTTACGTGCAGTAGTCCAGGTGACACTCATCAGTGATAACCTAATAAAATGACTCTGTCACTAGATGACATTTAAAATAAAAAAAAAGGCCTAAAGAAAAGAAATGATATTGAACCTGTCCCAAATGTTGGATATCTGCTCTCTAGAAGAGCAATGCAGTTCCAGAAGTCTTCTACATCTAACACACTTCACCAGTTGCCATACCCACCTCTGCATGCTGTGCTGCTATCTGCCAGCTACAGGACACAGTGATTAGGGCCAGGGATGGGGCTAGTGAATGAGATCACAGATGGGGCCAGCAGATGAGACTAGTGGATAGGGCCAGGAGATGGGGCCAACAGATGAGGCCAGTGGATGGGGGCAGTTTATGGTGCCAGTGGACAGGGCCAGGAGATGGGGCCAACAGATGAGGCCAGTGGATGGGGGCAGTTTATGGTGCCAGTGGACAGGGCCAGGAGATGGGGCCAACAGATGAGGCCAGTGGATGGGGGCAGTTTATGGTGCCAGTAGACGGGACCAACAGATGAGGCCAGTGGATGGGGCAGTTTTTTCTGCCAGTGGATAGGGTCAGTAGATGAGATCAATTTATGTTGACAGTGGATAGGACCAGGAGATGGGGCCAGTGGGTAGGGCCAGCGAATTAAACCAGTGGATGGGACCAGTTCATGCTGTCACTGGATAGGGTCAGGGGATTGGGCCAGTGGAGAGGTCAGTGAATAGGGTAAGCAGATGAGGCCAGTGAATGGGACCATTGGATAGGGCTAGTGGAATGGGTCAGTAGATAGGGCCAGTGGATGGAACCACAGGGAGCAGTGGCAGGCATCCCACACACCTGGAAATGGATTTGAGATCGATTTCCAGCCAAAACCGCTTTTGACCTAAAACAGCGACGATTGTGCGACCGAGCTCAGTGGTGTGTGAACTTGGTACTCATATGTGTGTTGACATTTTGATGCAATTTTTAGCACTTGTTTTTCTGCGTTATGCGGGCTATAAATGCACTTTGTAGCACCAAAAGAACTACTTGAACCTTTTTACGTCACACTGGAGGACAACCCAAAGGGCTTTGAATGGCACAGGTGTGAATGGTAACTCGGGGCCCGTTCACACCACCACACCATGCTGGCACACGACCACTGGTTTACACTGACAGGTAACAGTGCTTATGTGCCTATCGTGGTACATCACATACTTTGTTGTTAGAACACAAGTGACAATTCATTTCATTAAGTCCCTGTTCACACCTAGGAGTTTTGACACTCAAAGATAAGCGCGACAAAACTCTTAACATATGAAATCCCATGTATTTCAATGGCCCCTGTTCACACCTGAGAGTTTTGTTGGAGTACATGAGCTTTTTTTTGCAGATTACAGCGGCGGGTTTGGCCCCATAGACTTCAATGGAAACGCCTGGAAACGTGACACAGGCATTTTGCACCTTTCTGTGCACGTTTATCCAATGACTGTAATGTCTTCCAATCTGCCTGATAGAACGCATCTTAATGTGCGCACATCTAACTCGTGCGAAAATGTGCACTAATGCTAAAAAAAGCTGATGCCTAGGTGTGAATGCAGTCTAACTTCTATTGGCTCATTGTGGTGCGCTGTGGTTGTACTGCGTTGCACCACGCTGCGTTACACCACGCTGCACTGAAAAAAAGTACTGCATGCCTTATTTTTTTTAGCGCCCATCACCCGACAGCGCTGTGGACTAAGCCAAATACAATTGTTTTGTCTGTCCGTTGGGGCTGCGCTGGAAAAGAGAGTCAGCACAGCCCCCAACGCATCTAGTGTGAACAGGCCCTAAATTCCCATTCACACCATTGTGTTCCGTGAAAGCACATCCTGCGAGCGCTGGCGTCAGAAACTTGTATCGCTCGTGCAGTGTCATTATACGTTTTTCCCCACGCATGGATGTGCATTAAAACGCTCACAAACAAGCAGGGGGAAAAAACGTGGTACGCCTATAACAGAATCTGCTACATGAGCTACTCTCCTGTATTTGTCACGTGTATGGCTCTCTTTATAATCAATAAGCAACACGCAGCAAACGCTGGAAAAACACGTGAATGTGCACAAATGCAAAGCACGTTCCCGGTACACCACGGTGTGAATGGAGCCTTAGTCCCCTTCACCCCTAGGCATTCTGTAAATGTGCAGCAAACATGCACACAAAGGACAGTGAGCACAGCCCCAAGGCATCTAGTGTGAATGGGCCCTAAGTCCCCGTCCACACCATTGCGTTCTGTGAACACACGCCAAACATGCATCATGTGTGTGCTTTGAAACGCGTCAAATACACACAACATGCTTGTGGTGCCATTATATGTTAATAACACTCCAAACACAGACGGCAAAATGCATATTTTCCCCGTACGTGGACGCCCATCATAATGCGCTGGAGAAAACTTGGGACGTACATAGCAGAATTTGCAACATGAGCTACATTCCCGTGTTTAACACACGTGCAGGCACCCATTGAAATCAATGGGGAGGAAAACGTGCGTTGTGCCGGTGTTCCGTCGAAAGCTCCAACTCCTCGAGATCTGCAACGATCTGACTTCCGGTTTAGTTAGAAGAGGTTTGGGCGGGAAGGCTGTACTGCACGTGCACCACCTGCGGCATTTCCCTATACACATACTACATAGCAATAAAGTATTATAATGAACTAGGGTCAGACTAATCCAGTACGTTATTCAGCTGAGTTGCCCCACTCAATAGGGGCGCAAGCGACGGACGCAGCACTTATGCGCCGACATAAACGATCCCATACATTGCTATGGCGATCATTCATGCGACCGCACGATCTGAACCGACCCCCGCCCAAACTGCTCCCTGCACTATTTCTGCCGTGCTGATCAGTGTGGTTTCCATGCAAGTTTCAATGGAACCGTGCTGAAACGCAATTAAAAACTCCCAAAACCTCCCCTGCAAGATCAGCGCGGTAAGTGCGAATGGGCTCTGAACCAGGCCTTAGGTAAACAATCTGCAAAATGCAGTGATCCACATCAGCCAATCAGAATTCATCTAATAGCACTCAGGTCTAAACTAATAGAAAGGTAACAAAACGTCAGTCAAAGTATCGCAGCGCTGAATACTGAAAAATGGCCTGGCCAGGAAGGGGGTCTAAACACCTGGTCTTGAAGTGGTTAAACGGTTGCTAAGGTTTAATTTGACATCTGACGATCCTCAGAAACCCCAGCTAATATTGTTAGAAAGGACAACCGCCATCCCCAATGTGTCTCTGCAGACAGCTGACTCTCGGCGGGTCACGTGTCAGGCACCCCTGGAACACTGAGGAGGAGTTCTTGGAAAGTGTGTATGTAGAATGGTGACACGTAGAGGAGGAACTACACCCAGCGATCCCCGCTCACCCGTCTCCCTCCTTCCACCCGCTCTTTCCCGCACTGCAGCCCGGAGCCGCGATCCCAGCCTCACCAAACCAGCTCCTACAGCCACACCCCCAGCCGCCATCTCCAAGGATACTGCATCCAAGTACCGCCCCCCAACTGCAATCACGACTGCTTTTCCCTGTTTGAATCCCTCTCAGCAAGCTGCCGCCGCTTCCTGTTTCCAAGGCAACGGCATGGGCTTCAGCGTCCGCTGTTACCATGCCAACCAGAGTTGCAGGCCACTCGGCCCAAAGCAGGAGCTCAGAAGAAGAGTTGGAAGACAGAGGAGCGCAGCGCACGGGAGAGCAGCTTGTGTGACACTATGGCCGGCGAGGAGAGCTCACTCATGAAGCTGGAGAATGTCATTCAGGTGAGGGAGGCTGGTGCTGGGTCATTGTGGCTGGCATAGAATAGTTCTTGTCAGCGAGCTCAGGGCTGCGGCAAAGTCTGATGTACATTGGAATGATTGGCTAAGGAGACACAAGCCGCATTGAGGATGGCTACCAAATGGAAGCATGCATTGCAGGATCACATAGGTGTGCATAGAGATCGCCCTCCCTTAACCTGTGTAGCAAATTGTGTACTGCACAAACATTGTATTACCCATTGTAGTGGGGTTGCCCCTGTACAGCAAAGGGTTAACTGCTTGTTTTTGTTTTTTAAAAGAGTTATACTCACCCCTGAACTGAGGAGCCAGCTGGCTGCTACTCCAGTCCCTGAAGCCTGTCTCCCCCTCCGCTCCAGCAATGGTATGTCCCTTGGCATCCTCACATCCTATACACTGTGTATAGAATGTGATGACTCAAGGATCCTTAGACCGCTGCAGGAGAGGGGGAGAGAGGCTGGAAGGGTCAGCCTAAGAGCAAGCCATCTCCAAGGATCGGGTGAGTATAACTTTTTTTTTTTTTAGCACATAGACAAAAAGGAGCACTTAACCCTTACAGTGCAGGGGTAGCCCTACCACAAGGTATAAGAACATGCTATAAAGCCTATCTCCGTGCAAACCCCCCCAAAAAACACCCCTGCAGTGGGGCTACCCCAGTATTGAGAGGGTTAACTTGAGGAGCGGTGTAAAGCACAATAAAGTTACCTGGTCCCCGCTCCCCCTGTGATCAGTATTCACCTCTCCCCCCTCCACTCTGGCCGGTCCAATGTCCTTCGGCATCCTCACATACAATAAAGGGTTACGGAACCTCCATTAGATATAATGATGTCAGCGGTCCTTAGATGACTGGAGTGCAGGGGAGAAGAGGATGTGGGGACCCGTCTAGCAGCCCGGAGGGGGATCAGGTCAGTAAATCTGCTTTGTATAGATCCACAGATACTAGAGGAAATCATTTCTATATTGGGCTTATGTTCGGTTCCTGGGGTGAGCGCTCCATAATAAACAACACTTTTGGGTACATTCACATGTGATCTGTGATAGGTTGGTATTAGGGATGCACCGATATATCAGCCGCCGAAACATATCGGCCGATAATGGCACTTTTGGCTAAATGCAGAAATACAATTTTCCTGCCAATACATCGGCGCATCCCTGCTTTCTTTCCTCCCCGCTGGGCGCTGCTCTGTGTTCCAGCCGGGAAGGGAGAAACTGTGATAGCCGGCCGAGCGCTGTGAGCGGCCGGCATCTCCTCCCACACCGCTCAGCCTCCTATCACAGTCCGGCAGAACGGTGTGCGGGCGGAGACAGGCGGTGCAGGGAGGAGAGTGAGCTAAAGCAGAGACACCGGCACTCCAAATTTGCAAAATACGTCTATTTATTGACGGGCATCGTGGTAAAAAATAACGAACGTTTCGGGGTCACAAAGGATCCCCTTCATCAGGTAAAACATACAGAGAGAGGAGAGCCAGGTACAAACACTCAGTGATCAGTGATCGCTAAGTGTTTCTAGATAATTGAGGACAGAGTATAGTTACTATATCCTCAATTATGAATGAATGGGAGTGATCTACTGTATATCAGCTCCTGTTCATTCATAGCTAGTATTGTCAAGTAAGTCTCTTCCTGGTCACATGATGAATAGCCAGTCATGTGCCACATAGCGGAGTTCTAGTTCTACAAGAATAAGTACATATAATACCCGGGAAGGAAAGGCAAAGGGCAATGTGTCTCAATGGATGAAAAGTCTGAGGAAGTGAAAGTGCAACAAAAGCAGAAGATTTCCATCGCCTGTCAGGTGTTTATAGCCGTCTGTGTCCCCATTAGGGAGATTCGCCCTCTATCTGTCCTGGTGACATCCTACTTCTGATGAATGACTTTTACTGCAATTTTGGGCTTGAGATAAAGTTGCGCTAATATTATGTTCAACTGCCGCCATTTTATTCTACAGGGCCTGGGGGGGAGGGGGGGGGGGGTTAATAATGTAACCTTTGATGCCATAGGTCACTGATGACAGCCTTTGTTATTTGTATAAGTTACATGGATAACAATGTATCTCACAGAGTCAGCGATAGGATGTAAGGCCGATCTGCAGAATACTCTCTGGTATTAAAAAGTGCAATTCAAGAGATAATCCATAATTCTGCCTCTTTGTAAGACAGGTTCAGCTGCATCTTGAATATGCGGTTCAGTTTTGGTCACCAATCGTAGGGCCCATTCACACCGATTGCGGTGCGTTCCAGAGCGGCAGCTGCTGGAACGCACAGCAATCGCTCACAAAACCTCCCCTTCATTCTGGGGCGGGAGGGGGGCATGGTGGTGCATTAAAGTCAATGGCACCGCAGCCACGCCCCCCGCCCACAGTGCGATCAGACACGTGGCAAAACATTGCCTGCGTTCCTGTCCCCTGCAAACGCAAAAATTGCTGCATGCTCTATTTTTTGGCGTTCGCAATGGACCAGAATGTAGGCAAAGTTTTGCCACGCGTCTGATCGCACTGTGGGCGGGGGGCGTGGCTGCGGTGCCGATGACTTCAATGCACCACCATGCCCCCCTCCCGCCCCAGAATGAAGGGGAAGTTTTGTGAGCGATTGCTGTGCGTTCCAGCAGCTACCAATCTGGAACGCACTGCAACTGATGTGAATGGGCCCTTAGAGGCTTGTTCACACCATGTACAGACCAGAACAGTTTGTTCCCAGACCCAAAAAAATCCCAATGCATCCCTATGGTATTTCTGGGCTCTGTTCACACCAGCGTAGTCCGTTCCGGACCACACCAAACCAATACTGTATGTCTCATGTTCTCTGGTCTGGAACGCATGAAAACGCACCAAAAATGCACTGTAACGCACTGGACCACACCTGAAAGCCCATTTTAAGCTAAAAAAAAAAAAACTAAACAAAAAAACCCAACCTCCGGAACACGGCAAAATCGCGCTAAGAATGCGGCGACATGCAATGCACCTCAATCCAGATCTGGTCTGGAAAATGGTGTGAACCTGGCCTCAGGGAAGATTTTCTTGAACTGGAGGACTCGGCTATATGAACAATTGCTCAGGTTACACGTACTGACTGTGGAAAAGAGGCTCTTAAATGATCACAACGGACAAATATATGAAAGAAGTACTCCGGGCTTTTTACATATTAACCCTTACAGTGGGGCTTCTGCCGCACTGCACAGGTTAAGTGCTGGTTTTGGTCTAGGCAGGGGCGGGCAAACTCCAGCCCTCCAGCTGTGGTGAAACTACAAATCCCATAATACATCTGAACTCTGGGAGTCATGCCTGTGGCTGTAAGAATCTTGCAATACCTCATGGGATTTGTAGTTTTACAACCCCTGGTTCATGGTCTAAAATGAAGAAGATACACTCAGCTGATCCCCAGTCCCGTGGTGGTGACCGCTCACCTCTCTCCCCCTCCTCTCTGGCTGAGGAATGTCACTCAGTGTACTCGCGTCTAATGCATGTCAATGGACTCGTATCAGACGTAATGATGTCATGGGTCCTTAGGCCGCTGGACCCCCCGGGGGAGAAGAGGTTGCAAGTGCCGGGCTAGCAGCCAGGTGGGATCTAGGGTCAAGGAGAGTAGTATATATTTTTTCTTTCAGAACCTAGGCCAAAACAAGTTAAATTGCCCGGAATTGTTCTTTAAAGGTAACTATTAGGGATGCACTGATATTGCGGCCGCCGAAACGTATTGGCCGAAAATGGCACTTGTGGCAAAATGCTGAAAGTGCCATTTTCTGGCTGATACAGCGGTGCATCCTATTCTCTCGCTGGGCGCTGCTCTGTGTCCCAGCGGGAGGAGAGAAACTGTCACAGGAGGAGGTGCACCTCTAGTAACTATAGCAACTGCAATCAAATGTTTATAACAGGGTCCCTGAAGAAGACACATGGCCACACTTTGAGGTCAGAAAGGAAGTTTAACCGTTAACCCTTGCAGTAAGGCTATCCCTGCACTGCAAGGGTTAAGTGTTCCTTTTGGTCTAGGGGTGAAAATAAAGAAGAGCGCAGGGAGCCCTCACCTCTCTCCTCCTCAGCTAGGGTTGTGTTATATTCCTCGGTGTCCTCAGGTCTAACAACCCTGGGGGAGAAGAGGCTGTGGGGACCGGTCTAGCGGCCAGGCAGGACCGAGGATCAGGTGAATTTATTTGTTGTATTACTTTGAACAGGCTGTTGGTCTTGGATGTTGGCACTCCGGCCAGAATCACTGACTTTCACAGGCGGCCTCCCCAGATCGCCCATCTGAATGAGCCTCAGAGAGGCCAGGTGTAGATATAGCACAGGTCGTAGAATGCACATAGAGCTCTACCCTACACCAAAAGCTAATGACATGCGTTTACTGTATATGCAAAATCTATGATGAGCAGCCCCTGATTTTAAGGGGAATAGAATCTGCAGGAGACAGTCTGAAGCCTGTTAGTGCTGAGACAGTTTTTTCTACATATATGCATCTATATGCGTTTATAGGACACTTCTAAATTGATGTCATGATTTCAGATGGTATCATTCACACTGTGTTCAGAGAGAATAGAATTCTGTGCATCCAGGGGCAGATCAGACACTCTGACCTCATCTAAACGCATGAAAGTACAGGTACAAAAAACGCAGGAGATTGTGATCTGAGAAGAATAAGGTTTTTTTTCTGCTGCATTTAGAAACGCAGGAGGCTCGTGTGAATGTTGGATAAGCCCCTATTCACACTTGCGATGCGGGTTTATGCAGTCTTTCACATTGCAATGGGCTGCCCTAGATGGGCGACAAAGAAGCTCATGCCCCTTTTTTAGATTTGTGCGCTTCTTAACATTTATATCTCATTTGTCATGCATCTTTGCGGGCGTAAAATATGTCTTCCTTGGTGTATTTGAGGTGACATTAACAATGACTGCCATTGCAAGCACAACACGCATTTCTCGAAACACGCAACATGCATTCACATGCTACACTAGTATGAATGTGGGCTGCGTTGTGGCTGAAATCAGCTGTGTTT